GGCCGATGAGCTGGAGGAAAAATTCGCGGCGCGGACGACGAGAAGCGGCCGGCGCTGGTGGGTGAAAGTGACGTGGTGGTGATGTGGTGGTGGTGATGTGGTGGTGGTGATGTGGTGGTGGTGATGTGGTGGTGGTGATGTGGTGGTGGTGTGTAGTGGTGGTGTGTAGTGGTGGTGTGAAGTGGTGGTTCGTAGTGGTGGTGTGTAGTGGTGGTGTGTAGGGGTGGTGTGTAGTGGTGGTGTGTGTTGGTGTGTAATGGTCACGTATAAGATGTTTAGATTGAGTGGGAAGAGTATTTGAGAATGTGATGGTTGTGAGGGTGTGGTGGTGGTGGTGGTGATGTGAAGGTGATGAAGGTGTGGAACCATTGAATATGAGTGGGAGATGGTGAATGAGGGAGATATGGTGAATGAGGGAGAGATGGTGAATGAGGGAAAGATGGTGAATGAGGGAAAGATGGTGAATGAGGAGAGATGAAGAAATAGAGAGTTTGAGAATGAGGGAGATATGGTAAATGAGGGAGAGATGGTGAATGAGGGAGAGATGGTGAATGAGGGAGAGATGGTGAATGAGGGAGAGATGGTGAATGAGGGAGATGTTTGTAGTGGTGGTGTGTAGTGGTGGTGTGTAGTGGTGGTGTGAAGTGGTGGTTCGTAGTGGTGGTGTGTAGTGGTGGTGTGTAGTGGTGGTGTGTAGTGGTGGTGTGTAGTGGTGGTGTGTAGTGGTGGTGTGAAGTGGTGGTTCGTAGTGGTGGTGTGTAGTGGTGGTGTGTAGGGGTGGTGTGTAGTGGTGGTGTGTGTTGGTGTGTAATGGTCACGTATAAGATGTTTAGATTGAGTGGGAAGAGTATTTGAGAATGTGATGGTTGTGAGGGTGTGGTGGTGGTGGTGGTGATGTGAAGGTGATGAAGGTGTGGAACCATTGAATATGAGTGGGAGATGGTGAATGAGGGAGATATGGTGAATGAGGGAGAGATGGTGAATGAGGGAAAGATGGTGAATGAGGGAAAGATGGTGAATGAGGAGAGATGAAGAAATAGAGAGTTTGAGAATGAGGGAGATATGGTAAATGAGGGAGAGATGGTGAATGAGGGAGAGATGGTGAATGAGGGAGAGATGGTGAATGAGGGAGAGATGGTGAATGAGGGAGATATGGTGAATGAGGGAGAGATAGTGAATGAGGGAAAGATGGTGAATGAGGGAAATATGGTGAATGAGGAGAGATGAAGAAATAGAGAGTTTGAGAATGAGGGAGAGATAATGAAAAGTTGCATTCGAAGGTATTTATATCGTTCGGAAAAAATACCTCATAGACTTGCCCGCTGACACTCTCTTGGTGAAATCCACGGATATCAGACCCAATATTTAACTACCTTTTTGTGCCAGACCATATGATGGCCACTGTGCTTGTACTTTGAATGGGCAAGTGTTTACTTAGGATGACAGTAAAAACTAGTAAAAAGAAATTACGAAAATGCCAAAATTGTCCGAGGAGGTAAACCATTTTCCTACATAATTGTCAAAAAAAGAATGTCGTCACGCAGATCGAAAATTGGTAGCCAGTTACCTGTATCTAGAGTAAAGTTCCGTTTCTATGAAGATCATTGTTAGCGTTGTTATGCTTGAAAGTGAGACGTTCAGTAAACATCTCATTTAATGATATTATTAAACTAGTTTAATGTTCTAAGCTCCTAGCGCATCATTTCGTACTTATCCTTACATAGAAGCAACATAATTAATTGTGCCTTATTTTGAGTCAAATACTAGGAGTTAAAAAATATTCTATGAGTTAACTCGCAGAGACACTAACGAAAGATCATTTAACTTTTATGAACCTCGAACAAAAATTTTCTGTTGATATATATTTTAATATTTTTCCGGATGCTTGGTGCTCGAATGAGTAACATCATTTTCTAGCTGAAACATTAATTAGAAACATTAATCTGTAGAATCAAAGAGGACGAATAATAAATTCTCCCTTTTATTTTATTCATTTGTTACCTTTCGTCATTTCATAGGAATTGTATATGAAAATTTAGGACAGCAATTAAAACAGTATAAATTATCAGTGCTCCTGTCGTCTTCACTGTTACACTGAGGCACAGAGAGTTAAAAATAAATTTTTTATATAATAAAATAATTTTGTCTTAATATGTAGGCTGGGTAACAATTTTAATGGAAACTGTCGGTGATCTGTCAATGTGCATTTTCTGTTTTACCCTGTTTAGCATTAACCTGTATTAGTATATTTAATGATTGGAAAGAATAGCTACATATCAAAGTAAATTTTCTCATCGATATGCATTCATGAATGGAAAGTGAGTGAACCTGTTGAATTTACGTGACTGATCTTTGCTAGAGCCTAATATAACTGAACACATTGATTGTAATTATTGATCATCTTCCGATTTCAGCTGATGGGAGCATAAAATTTACAGGATGAGATAATCCGTCTTTCAAAAAGGTCGCGGGGCACCCGAATGTAGTTAAAAATCTGAGAAGAAGTAGAAAATTTAATCTGTAGAGAATTAAGTTGAAGAAAACGTACATTACTGTAGAATAAATCCTCCCGATTTACCCTCAAATTTACCCCGTGGTCAACATTAAGCAGTTTACTGCCGTGACCCGAACACCGTAGAACCGAGGGCAAACCCACGGAGGAACTGCCGTTTTTGTTGATTTTTTGTTTTTGTTTGTTGATCTTTTCGAAGACGGATTAATGTTTTGTTGATTTGGGGAATCATCCAGACGACACAGTTTATCTTGAAATAATTTGAATACGCAGAACTTTTTCTTAGGCTGATTTTTTTATTCAAATCGGACGATTTTTTCAATTTAGACGTTAGTGTTTCATTCATTCTTCTTGAATTAATTTAGTTAGTTTCCATCACGACTGCTGCTCGGAAAAATTAACAATGAATTTTGTGAAGAAACGCAATTTAATGTTTATTTCAAATAAAATATTTTTCAGGCATATGTGAGCTAAATTTAGGTTAACATTCTGTGAGAATTATACCAAAGCAAGTCATATAATTGTGCTGGCTTATCGAAGTATACTCTATTCAGTCTATTGGACACATCCACTCGCCAATTGGAGAGTATGAAACATCACGCGAGCTAAAAAAGTAATATCATTCACTAATAAAATGAGTCAGCTCCAACGTTTATGGAATTGTGTCAACTCCAACGTTTATGGAATTGTGTCAACTCCAACGTTTATGGAATTGTGTCAACTCCAACGTTTATAGAATTGTGTCAACTCCAAAGTTTATAGAATTGTGTCAACTCCAACGTTTATAGAATTGTGTCAACTGCAAAGTTTATTTAAGAATCTCCCTTGAGTCCTCCGAACATCAGTATTATTGCACAAACTATTTCATTCGTGCCCGCGTTTAATGCGTACCTGAGGTGTCCTTCATAACTAGTAAAATGTATGGTTATCAGGAAGGATCGGATGGTTATCATGGCTAGCAAATACTTCTCTGAAATGACAGGAGGGTGGAATATCATTGCTATCTCAGCATCATAAAAACTATACATGTGCTGTTAAATTAAATTGCTGATGTTGTTGGTTTTCACCTAACCGATATCGTTGCGATAACTAAATTAGGCAAAATAAACTACGAATTTGGTTCAATTAAATATTAAATTCATAAGAAAAGAAACTTATGATGAGAACAGGTCGACGAGGAAGAGAAACCGTCTCAAGATCTTGTTTGCTGAATTTACAACATACATCTGAAGTCGAACTTCCGAAAGAGTCTAATAACATTGCAACGCTTCTGTACAATCTTCCTCGAGGAGTGATGCAGGAAAAATAACAGGTGTGGAATTGAACTCAACTGGCCAAACGCTGGCGGACCGAGAGATGTATTTTGGTAGAGGGCTGCGTGGCTCGTCAAGAGATGCGCTTCCAATTTACAAAATTTGATTATTGCGCGATGATGAAGTCCATGTTAATTACAGGCGAGCTCCTGCATGCGGTTTGTAAACTCGTGAAATGAGATTCAAATTCGCGTTGCGTTTTGCAGGTTTCATTGCTGACAAATATGAAGAGACTTATGCATTAAAATCTTAGGTACTTCCCGGAAATATTATAAAAGAATTAGACGAATTTATTGTATTCATATGAATTTTTTTTCGATCTGAATTCATTAGTATTGATTTGCACCGCTTGATCCCACTAATTTCACCATTAGAAAAATTAAAATCGGGAGAGAAAGATTTGTTCAAATAATAGAGAGGGATTGCATATCATCTCCAAAACAACAGGTTCAATTTCAACAAGTATTGAATACGATTAATGAAACGCAAATTAACTCAAACAACAAATTATAACTTTTTACATCTTCAAATGTAACAATCTTCTCACTTGATGACGTTTCAACGCTCGACGTAATGGAACAAACAGCAAAAGTTTTTAAGCAAAGAGTTCAAAATATGCAGTGAAATTTCATTGCCATAATGATCCTCAATGTTGCTACAGATTGGAATAATATTTTGGGTAAATTTCGTGAAAGCGTACTCATGCTAGCTGTTTTATTGACTATTCAAATGTTTTATTATTTTCACGGTAAATAAAATTGAAGTGACTGTTTAAAACCTTGCTATTTTTTTTATTTCGTTTACGTATTTTACGAATGATTTGCTGATTATGGAGTAGCAGAATTTGTAGGAAGTGTATTAAGTTAATGATCAATCGTTCAAAAAATCTACGTGTCCAAGCGCGAATATTTCATTTTGCAACATCTCCGATATTTTCGAGCGTAAACAGATCACGATGCTTCACATTGTAGGAGAAACTGCAATGCCCTGAAGGTCGTTGATCAACCGACTTAAAGTGATAAATCAATATATTAGTATTTATTTGAAAATTTCAATAGGAAGCATTTTTTGGCTCTGGAAAGTCACCGAATTTATTTTTTATCTATAGTTTATATTATACCACCAGAATTTTTGTGTTGTAAAATTAGTAACAAACATTTTCTTTTGGGCAGGTCCACGAAGGAGAAAGAAAAAGAAAGCAACGCTGAGAAGAAAGAAAAATCATCCATTGAACGGACCAACACCTCAACACTACCATTAGTCAAGTTACAAACATTTACTTGAATTTACTGGGACACATGTACCTGCAGAAAAGGAACGAATCTCACAAAGAGCATCAAACTGCATTATATAATAATCCTTCTCAATAAGAACGTTACCTCTCAATATTCACATTTGTCAGAATTATTAACATATTTGGCTACCATAAAACTGTAATAAAAAATTTCGGCAAAATTACACGTTTTGAAGACAAGGGGAAATTTGGAGGAGCACCATAACTGAAAGAGAAGAGATATTCCAACAAACTTCTTCAACTATACTTCAACTCAAGAACCACGAAGCACAAGAAAAGTTACAGCAAAAATTTCACGATCTCAGTGAATGTTGAGTGAGAAGAAACCGACGGTCACTTCAAACGTGCGACGGAACTCTTCGCTCTGCTGAGCCTATGCAGTGAGCTGGCAACAGGGAGGGTAGAAAGGGGTATAAATTGTGTATAAGAGATAGGGGTATAAAGCAGGTATAAGAGAAAAGGGATAAAGTAAGCATAGGAGATAGGGATATAAATCAAGTATCAGAGATAGGGGATTGAAGTTAGCATAAATGATAGGGGTATAAAGCAAGCATAAGAGATAGGGCGGATTTTAGTATTTGCTTTCCTAAGTGCCTGAAAGGAGAGAGATCACTTTCATGGTATCCACCAATTCAACTTTGATCATCGGAAATTGGTGGCTTCCACAAAAATGTGCCACAACAATCCTTTTTATTTTAGATTATTTAAGAATGATTTATTCTACGAGAATACTGTATATCAGATACGGTCCTGGTTGATTGTAAGATCCGTAAATGCAGCTTGTTGGATAGTTAGCACAACGATCGTTTATTATAGTTAGTGCAAAAGATCTTGAAAGAATATCGACGGTGCTCTAGAGGATGATCGTGTTTATATTTAAATGCCTATCATAATATTCATCATTTTTAAAAAAAATCACTACGTTTAAGCAGAGTGTAGTAAAGTGCAGCATTTAACCTACATAACGATGAGTTTCATAAATTCATCTATAGAAGTTTGTGTTATATTTAGATGTTATTGGATGCGAATGTCAATTTACTCACAGTTTATATAAATTTAAAATCAAAAGTAGCTTTATTTTCTTGAATACTGAATAGAATCGGTAGATGTTCCTTTTTCAGACAAATTTATCTCTATGATTAATTTCGATGATATTTACAGGACACCGGGGCGGACTCGGTCAGCGAATCAGTGATGGACGTGAGTCCGACCTTGCGGTTGGACGATCATGTGGCGTTCGACGTCGACAGCTCGAGGTTGTTGGAACTTGTCGACCTGCAGTTCACGCCCACCGATTTTGGCAGCCTTGAGGACCTCGCCGACACTAGAATAACGAACAATAATGATGGCGAGATTGTGTCCCAGCAGTGGAACCAGTTTTCCCTCTACCAAGATGGGATTCAGCAGACACAGCTGCCTCCTATATACAGGGAGGCAGACAACAGCAGCGATAAAATGTGGGGCGGAGGAGTTGGAGGGATGCTCAACGACGGTAAAACGAACAAAACAGAAGGTGGAATCTTTTACAACACCTTTTGTAAAAGTGAACCTATCGAACAGCCGACAGAGACCGAAGTAGAGAATTTGACATTGTTTTCAACTCTCCTTCACGAAAAGCCCATCGACATAATGACCTCACATAATCACCCTTCCCCCGGGTCAGATTGCGTGTCGTATGTCAGTGCTTCAGCGTGCAGCGACTCCGGTATCTCGAACGACAACGCCTCGCCTCTCCCTTGCGACTTCGACTCTATGGTGAGGACCGCGATAGATTCCATGAGCACACAACACGAAGAAATCACGTCTTTGGAATCATTTCACGGCTACCCGCCTTCGTACATGGCGCCTGCACATGACGGAACGACCATCCTCGAAGGCGCTTTACGAGGCACAGTGAGACGCAACAGTGGTGGACCGCAAGTCCAGAAAACCTTGACCGTCATGACAAACATGACGCCACTCCCGTCTATCAATACGGCTTTTAAAAATGAAAACTTTGGCCTGCCTCCATCACAACCTCAAATTACAAGTACAAACGGAATGTACTCGTCTTATGATTACATTCCGGTGCCTACAGATGAATATTCCTCAGTCGACAATTCGGTTAAGATTGCTCCTGCAGCATCAACAACGACTAGCGCTCAAGAATCTAAAATGAGAAAACGGAAATACACTAAAAGAGGAACTTCTGAAGAAGCCACTGCTAAAGGTAGACTTCTTCACTTCTGCCACGTTTGCAACAAAGGCTTCAAAGATAAGTACAGCGTTAACGTTCATCTGCGGACACATACTGGCGAGAAGCCTTTCGACTGCACGCAGTGCGGCAAATGCTTCAGGCAAAAAGCTCATTTGGCAAAGCATATTCAGATCCACAATAGCGGACAGAAACCTCCTGGTAAGCGATAAGCGGTAAAGTCTTATTGCTATCCTGTTGATCTAATTATAAGCTAATGGTTACACATGTAAAGTTGTTGACTACCTGAATAACGAAAACTTATTTCTGGGTTGTGATTGAACTGGTGATAGTTTATGTCCTGATGATAGGCATCGCTAATAAAGTGATGAGTCTATGTAAACAAGGCTCATTAATATTAATTACGGAATTTGGCACCAGTTTATTAATATGTTCATCATTGTGGGCTGTTTGGAAATTATGATGCGCTCCCAGAAATCCGTCATGAATATAAATATTAAGTTTTTCTCAAATTAAGTATACTTGTTATCGTCTCTGAGGACCTCTTCCCTCACTCCCAAATACTCTGCTGTACATATAAAAAGATTAATATATAATCATCTAATAGGTTTTGATTGATTTAAGGCTTCACAAACAAGAACAAAGTGTATTTTAGATGAAGATATTCCATCACGTGTTACTAGAGGGCACCCTTGTACCTTAAGTGACTCTTTATTCTTGGGGACAATGAGCTTTCTTCTAGCTCATTTACTTCTCGAAAGGTTGACCAATCACGTTTTGATTATTTACGGAATAACAGCGGGAAATAAAATATATTGAAATGGCTTGATTCTAGGACAACTACAAATTGATAATAAGCCGCTTGTAAGTTTGTATAGATGACAGGCTTGTCTTTCTCATCACACCCACGTAACAATATCTTCGGTGCCATTTTCTGCTTGTCTAGACTATAAGTATACTTCACTGCACCATACTGGAGATTTAGGACCGCTTCAATATTTTGCACCGTGATTGTTTTTGCTGTTTTTGTTTTTGTTATTAATTGATTGCAGTAAGCGAATAGCACCGTATGTGGCAAGGTAGTGCAAAAGTCATGACGTTAATTAAAATTATTAAACATCTTTCGGCATTTGTACCAGCAATTATTGTTACTTCTTGTTATTTTTTTCATTTTATTTCATTGGTCTGTTATATTAATGATGTGTTTTGATTTATGATTGTCGTAGTTTAGTTTTCTGGCATCGAAAAATAATTTTATATTCTACGAGACAATAAATATTTATGCACCTGACCATAAATTGGTAGCGGCTTAATAACAGAATTGAAACCTCACACTATGTTTCCACTTACCCAGTGAAAATTTACAGACGCGGCAGCTTCTGATTTGGACTACCAGAAGCTGGGGCGACTCTAAATTTTGTTAGGGTAGTTTATTATTGTTAAAGGACACGTGCAAAATTTTCAATTTTTTAGAATTTAGCGGAAAAATATGAAAACACACGAAAAATGTTCGATTGAAATATGAAAATACATTGGACACGTGTAGGAAGTTATAGTAGGAAGTTAAACAGTGTTTTGAAATGACTTATGGCGGGAATGTGATTACAAATTTTAAAACAAAGCACATACCATCCTCATTCAACATTTTCCTTGTCCCTTTCAAACGTAAGCCTCAACACTGCAACTCATTGATACATTATTGTGGACTACAGCTAGCATAACATTTCCTTTGTAGAGATAATATATCATACAATTAATATTTCTGATTACAACACACTCGATTATTGAGAATTCATATAATTTTGATGAAGAGAATATCGTGTACAGCAGGCTTAAGATTCTTTGATCTTAAATACCTAACGTAACCTACATCGATTTTTATGATATATTTCTGCGAGCCGATCGGCAACCAATTGTTTTTCTCGCACAATAAAAGGACGGCTGGTGAAGCAAGTGGGCTGCTATATATTTTTGAATGTGGACAAAGCCTTCAGTAATTTTGGCTTCCGATTATTGATGTATGTAGTCTCTCACTAATTCACAGTCGGTTGTTGCCAGGATAAGGAAGCACTGTCTGACTGTCAACGTCAGAGAATTGTTTATTTTTCTAATCTATTTTGTGATACCAATGTATATTAATTATATGGTTTTCTCAGAACATTATTGCAATTTAGTAAAAACTCGAAAGCATCAATTGAATGATACTATATTGACAAATTACAAATTTGTACGTGAATTTTCCTGAAGTATCTTTCGAAGGCATGCGATATCATTTATGCTCAATGTTGTAAGCTGCCCTGATTTATCTGGTAATTCTTTCAAATCATTCTGTTTTAAATCATCCATCTGTGAATGGCTGCTACTCATTCAACGCATCAGCGGCGATAAATCTTCGTAAAATGATTTACATTTTCTAATTTATTGTTCATAAATGGTTTTTATTCACCCAAAATGATATGATAGAATGGAGATGATGTCTATTATAAATGAAATAAAGATAACAGTGCAGAAGAGAGAATGCGTTCGGTTTACAGCGCCCGGGGCCAGCATCCACAAATCAAGTCAGAATCTGGAGAAAATATTCGTGTCTTAATTTAGTGGCCTTCACATTGTCATTGAATAATATTAACTTAAGCGCGGGTTTCACAGGCTTCCCTACTTTATGTCAGTCTATAGTATGTCGATAGCGGTAAATGTAAGATATTCGAGCGCTTCGAAACGAATACAAACACGAATTATTTTAGCACCAGGAACAGAAAATCTTGCTCACTTTTTCCGCTCAAATAATTTTAAGATTTTGTTATCCGGTTTCATCGGTTAAAAATAATCTCATTCACAAGAAGATTGAACTAAATCTATCATTAAATTAACCAAGTTATCGCAACAAAATTAAGTTTTTCAATAATGACCAGAGATATATTTTCTAAATATTTGTATTACTAAATGATTTTCGTGTAACATATTCCCTCAAATTAGAGTTTAAACTCACAAAATTGAAGTTCAACGAAGGTGATGGTCGAGACAAGCCATTTTCGAGGTAATCACCTGAAGCAGCGAGAAGAAGTGGCAACAGTTTCTGTACAATTATAAGGATGGTATTTATTCACTTTAGTGCTTATTCTCAAATGTACATAACTTATAACTACTCGTTCTCGGCAACAATGATCGCTCGTCTTATTGAATAGAATAAAATAATTGTTTTTGGGGAAAGATTTAACATGAATATTTTTTGCTCAGAGAAATTCACTCCTAGGCTTTACCTTATGTCGCTTATTTTGCATCGTGTCTTAAAAAATAACTTGAAAATAACAGAATCAGTTTCTTGCAATTAATGTATACGAATTGAAAAAATTGGCTTTTTCCCTTTTCAAACATTTTGAAACAATGTTGCCCAAGATCAAAAAAATTATTGAAAACTATTCGAAATGAAATAAATACAAACTATCTCAGGAATAATTATCAGGATTTGAATTGCATGCCGCATAAAGTTTTGAAAAAAAAAATTACGGTCGCAAAGCGACCGAAATCCACGTTGAAGATTCTTTCCAGAGTTATAATTAAGTATAACCGTTTATGCTTATAGGAATAAAATGTGATTTATCAAATTGAACATTGTTCGTCTCTATTGCCATTACCATGCTTGTTGGACATGCAAAAAGACCGCGTTAATAATTCATGTGGACAGCTATAAATCTTCATAGGATTGACATGCCATAAACACAATTAGAATAGCTTGTTACTGGGCGTCATTACGCGGAAAATTTGTTGTTACGAATCGTTGTTGTTAAGTTTGATTCTTACATGCCACTGTTGACAAATGTTGAGTGAGATATGACTCTGCAGAGACGTGTGACCAAACTATAGTGGATCTTATATTTCCGGGTAATAGGATTAAAGAATATCTAATTATTTGTTATAAAATTGCCTTGGCCTAAGCGTACTCAATGCATAACATACGATTAATTATATTAATTGCAGATTTGAGAATTTTTCAGGTCCATTTAATCCATTATGAAATAAAACGGGAATGTTTCAAATGAAATTATTCTGGGCCTCAGATCCTTGCGCATGAGAAGCGGATTATCCCGCGCCCGACGGATTACACAAACTTTCTTGTTAAAGATATTTTTGAGCGGACAATAGCGACAACAAAGCCCACGGAAACACGTGTGCTTACTGAAAGGCAACATTCGGTGTTTAGGGTTCAGGGATATTAAGTTATCTTGTCCATATTCTGTTACTTCTGTTGTTGTTTAGACTGCAGGGAATAAGTCTCATTTGGGCGAATTGCTAGTGCTGAATCAGAGCGCTAGTCCAGGAAAGGGACTATAGGAGAGAAACCGAACCAAACAAATTTGCGTTAAGGTCAACTAATTAATCCTAGCAATAAGCTAACAAGCCAATCAGTCAGTACGATTGCTAAATTATTTTATTCGCTTCTATAAGAAACGCACGTTATTTATTTCTATTGTTAGTCCATACGTCTATTTTTATACGTATTAGCGAAATCTGACTGATTGCTCGAAAGTCAAGTTTATTGCAATGCTAGGTAGAAAAAGAAAGAAAATGTCCCGGCTATTTCTGAATTCTCAGACATCCACTTCTGTAAATGATATTTTTTGTATACCCGATTGCCGGAATTTGCATTCGAGTAAATGACTAGAAATGCAGGATGCAAATTCATGATATGTTGATGCATCAGCGCAATTTCTTTATTGGATCGGATAGGCAAATTAAGCAGGACTTTGATAACATGATTTCGTTATTAAGTTAAATAATTTCTGTTGTCGATGAGAAGGCCAGAAGCGCTCGAGTTTCTCGGCTAGGAGATACTCTCGAAGATTAATAATAAAATTTGGATGATTTTAAGTTGACAGAAACTGATTGCCTGAGGAGTTATACGAAGATAATTTTTTCTCAATCTTTGGACGGTTTGTCAATTGGATAAATCTGAAGGTTCATATATATTTATACATGTTGATGGTATCAGATTTTCAAATTTGACCATAACATATTTGATTCGATTGAAAATAAAAGTCTTGCAATGAAATCTTGTTTCACTTTTTTATCATTGTGTGTTTAAAATAATTTCTCAATGAACACTATTTAATGGATCATTTGTACGAGCAAATAAATGCATGCGTGAAAAAGACAGTAAAAAGTTATGCTGTTTGTCACGTACAGCACACAGCCTCGGAAATGCTCTCTCCAGTAAGCACGGATATAAAAAAAGCTGTGATATTCAAGAAGAGCGCATCGATTAATTCTAGTGAATAAATTTCAATAGGGTTTAAATTAAGCATTTATCATCATTAAAAGTTTTGCGAGGGGATTAACTTCGCGTAAAGTTAAAATGACTTCGAAGTGGCTATTCGCACTTCGAATAGCCTAGTTTTTAGGAGCCGTCAATGAGCAAAAAACTTTAAATCAGCTTCATGGCGGAGAATTTGGGCCCAACCAACAGGATAAGAATGAATGTGTTACCTTTGTAGGTCGTATCATTGTTTGGCCGGCTAAAGGAATAATTTGGTTCACAGAAACCATTTGCATTAAATAGGAATTTATACTTTGATATTAAACTCGTTAACAATATGTCGAATAAAAATAAATAACAAGTGAGCATAGTCAGTAAAAGAGTAAAGTAATGAACAAATATTCGCCCGCTGGTGATGAAATCAATAAACAACGAATACTTTCTCATTAAAGATACAAAATAGAATATAAAAACTAGTGACTGGTGTTATAAAATACTATAAAAGAGCAATATCTGGTGACCCCATTAACCCAGGTGAAGTCTGTTTACCCTCGTACAAGAGAAGGCGGTCAAGTGCCACTAAAGTTTCTTTTATGAGCGACATTTGCGGAGAAGGAGATAGAGAGGCCCTCGAAAAAGACTGCGAAGCCTCTTGACGAATACGAGAGGCGGCACAGATCCGTCTTGTGCTAGCCGGTCGCATCTTTCCCGCGCATCGCTCCGAAAAATAGACATATTATAAGGTAAAAAATTCTATTTTCTGTTCGTTCAACCACTTAACAAGCGCAGTGCCTTAACCGAACAGACGAATTTCACGAAGTTCTATTTTAAAAACATTGTTCGATTTGGCGACGGCATTAAATTTTGGAGCTAAATCCGAACATTTACCTCGGACGACTGAACATCACTCTACAAAAAAATGTGACGGAATTGCCTAATTAATCAATTAGAGGGAACTAAATGAGTCTTGGACATATGTTCAGGACTCATATGTCTATTCTTTATAAGTCTGCGCTGAAGAATAGGCCTGATGTGGCCTGTCGCCGATTCTTGAACATTTCGTGACTTGTCCACATAT